CCTCAGGACTGATTTATAACCTGTGCCTATTTATAACAAGAGTTTTATATGACAAACTAATCATTTTGCCTGCCAGTTCCTTGCCTGCCATTCAAGGGGAGTTTACATGTGCTGGGCTGTCTCCTAGGGGGGTGAGGAAAGGCAGGAGATCTGCTGCTAATCCAACATAAATAGCCCTGGAGTCAGTCTGGAGCGTGGCAGCAAAACCATTTACTGAACGTGAAATCTGAATAGAACTTCAAACCTCATAACCTGTCAGCTCCTCAGCCAGGGAAAATATTCCCTGTGCTGGCCATGGGAAGGTCTGTGCCTGGAGGATTGGAGTTGTTTGTCTGAAGGAGTTAGCAGGGAGAGCAGGGGAGCAAAGTGGGCAGGCAGAGGTAGCTGTGCTCAGCTCCTGACTCCACACAGCCTGTCCAAGGGCTACTTCAAAGGTCCCAGGGGAATCAAATAGGCAGGATTCCCTGTGGAATGAACATCCTGAGGGCTGATCCAGCAGCACTGCAGCTTCTGAGCCAGAGAGTGTGGTGGGAGGAGTGAAAAGGAGCAGGATCAGGACAACCCAGCAAGCTGTCCATGGAGTTCATAGGGTGAGGTTTGAGGATGAGCTTCCTCGTGGCCGTGGCAGCTGAAACACCTGGAAGGCAACCTTGGGGTTAAGCCCTGAGCTAGACCATTTTCACCAGGTTTTCCCCCAGCCCCAGGAACCACAGTCAGAGGCAGGTTTTGTGAGGGCACCTCATGGAGGAAGAGCCAAAAAAACCTGCTGGAGACACTTCCCAGAGCTTTGAGAGGAGGGCAGAGGCACATCCCAGCAGCACCAGGCGCCTTGCAGAGGAAAGGAACCTCAGCCTGAAGCTGGAAACTTTTAGCTGGACTGTTTAGAACAAGGAACTCCAAGGGAAGATAATCACTTGGATAGCCAGGGAAATTAGCAGTCACTGCTCATCCTGGGACAGTTTGGTTTGTTGTTCCTGAAACACAAGGCAAGCAGCAAAGCAGCCTGTTTCCATCCCAGCCTGTGTGAGAGGGAAGTGCAGGAAACAGCTCAGAGAGTCCCCCAGGGCTGGGACATCACCTGCAGTGTCTTAGAAGCAAGAAGCTCTCAGGTAGGAAAAAAATCAATGTGAGAGAGCTCAAAACCCTGGGCAGTGAACACATCTCCCTCATCTGAGAGGGATCTGCACCCAGCATTAACCCCAGCAGAACCAGGCTGCTTTCCTGCAGGCTGCTCTGAACCTGAGCTCTTCACACAGCAACAAAACAATGGGATGCAGGTTGTTGCAAAGATTGTGTAGAGGCTGATGAAGGAGCTGGGGAAGATGAGTGAGGCCATGGGAAAGACAGCAAAGCTGTAGGAAATATTAACTGACCCATGTGAGGTGTCACAATAACCTTTTTTGTAAGAGTTCCAGAACCTGGTACAAGTGATGAAGGCTTGCAGATTTTGGAAGGTGATTCTGTGGCAACCATTTCTGAGAGGAACTTGAGAGATTAAGGGTAAGAAAGACACTTGTGCCAGTAAGAAGAGATCTACTTTTCCTCCCCCCAAACCCTAAACTTAGAAATTTGACAGGAAAAAAAAATAAAAATGCAGCAAGTGTTTGGTTCCTACCCTGCTAGGAAGGAGCTCAACACTGAGCTGCTCCCATCACCTCCTCCTGCCTCAGCTCCTCCACCTGGTGCAACAGGCAGGCTGGAAGCACCCAGGGGAAAAAAAAAAGGACCTTTAATTTGTATTTGTTTTAGACTTCTCCCCTTGCATCCCACAAACAGCCATTGCCACTGGGTAGGATTTACACACTTGGCTGTTAAACCGCAGGCACAGGGGCTTGATTTTGTTATAAACAGTTTTCTTCACACTGGATTCAGTCCTCCTGAGTTCTTACATTTTCTTGGGCTGTAAATTTGATGCCCACAGAGAAGCACTGAAGCTTTGCTTCACAGACCATTAATCTCCTCCCTCTCCAAACAGACTGGGAGCCTCGGGGAGTGTTTGTCTGGGCCAGGAGCCTCGTGTCCATATTAGTCAGGAGTTGGGTACAACTGCTACACTTGCACCTCAAGGTTGGAGTTCTGGTCTCAGCTGCTTCTTGGCTGGTTCAACCCCTCCTGCCCCAAATTACTGCTGGATGGACAAGCTCGTGCTGGTGGAGCTCCAGATACAAGAGAGCTGAAAGGCTCAAAAAGCCTTTTGGTTCAAAGACCTTGGTGATGCACAGGGAAGCTCTGCCTAGGGGGAAACCTGAGGATAAAGAGCTGATCAAAATGCCATGAGCTTTCCAGAGGTGACAGGGAACTCAGGACAAACCAACAGATGAGATGTCCACTTGATCCACTCCTTTGGCTCCTTTCCCCAGTGCCATCCAAGCCCAACCCAAGCTTTCCCTGCTGGCCAGAGCAGGAAGGCAGTGTGATCATGACAAACATCTCCCTTCAACTCCTTGCTTTGCCTACAATAAACCAACAAACTCCCTGCTGATTTCAACCCAGAAACATCAGCTGCTCCTGCCTGCAAGTGAGGTGAGCAACGAGGTCCAGCTGATGGATGGTGCCCAGGGCCAGGAGCAATGGTCACAAACTGGCTTAGAGAGACAGCAGAGAGAGGTTGTCTCCTCTCCCTGACAGTGTCCAAAGACAATCCATCCTTTCTGCTGAGGGAGAGTCAAGCCTGGGGCTGTGTGTTCCCCTGACCACATCCAGGCAGGTTCCAGCACCCTGCCCTCCTCACTGCCACCAGCTACAAAGCAGAACAATTCACCTCCTGCCAAGAAGCTCATGAGAGGACAACACAGCAGAAAGAAGGAGGGGGGATGAACAGTCCTGGATCCCAAACCAAAGTCTGACAAACATGTTTAGTTCTACAGCAAAATAAATATTTTAACTCTGATGAACAGTGAGACTTGTTGTTTTAAAAAACAACAACCCAAACCTATAGATGCAAGGACATAGGCTGGATGTCACAACACTTGGATCATGTTGCTGTTAGTCATGCATGAAACAGCCCAATTTATTACAAATATTCACACAGTACAAAGTACAGGATAGCAATAAATGCTGGGATACAGACCACTTGCCCTGCCTACACTTATTCCATCAAAACCCAGTGTAAACAGCCCATCTTTCTTGACAGTGATATCCCTGTGGGTGATGTGCTTTCTGGAGCTCCAAAACTCACTCCTGGTGCTACCTGCTGTGCCTTTCAGTAGCTGTGGACTCCTCTCTGCCAGCAGAGCACCCAGTTTGTGCTGGAAAGGACATTCTCCCCCAAGAGGCTTACAAAAAACCTGTGGGAACTCTGGCATGCATTGTGGAGAAAGAATACATGAACACTGAGAGCTGCTGTATTTTAGACAGTCAGAAAAACTGCATCCCACTGACTAGAAAGTGGAATTTACCTGTGTTGAGTTGTGTAACAGCACTTCTTGATTACCCCTTGGAGTCTCTCCTTCCTCCTCCAGTGTGTATCACTTTCATACACTCTTCACAAAGGAAAAAAAGCAACCAACCTACCCAAACCCCACCATTTAATCTCCCCTGAAAGATCTGTCTCAAGGTGTTTGCAATGGGGGGGGGGTTGATAAAGCCAGTTTGAGCCATCCCAGCTTTACAGCAGATTATTCCACAGCTCTTGAAACAAGTCACCTTTGCATCCCACCAACCTTGTGGACACATCAGATATTGATCAGCTTGAACAACAGACCCAGCAACAGGTGACTTTTTTTTACCCTCATGCATTCTCTGTCCCTTTGTTGTTCTCTGTCCCAGCCTTTGTTGTTAGATTAACATTGCAGTTGATCCAAAAAATGCAACACTCTACAAGGAATCTCTTTCCATTCCCTGCAAATATCCTGGAAGAAGGATGGGGACTCCATTTTGGGCCTTGCTACCCTCTGTTTCTGGCACTGCTCTGCAACCATTTCCTCAGCCAGCTGGAATCAATCAAAGGGCCAGGTGGCTGTTGAAAGGGAAAGCTACAGAGCTACATGAAACAAGTGGGGGTTTTTTATTAATCACCAAGATCTGACCACATCTTGGGTACCACCTTAAGCCCACAAGATGTCAACACCCTTTTTACTTTGGTTCAAATTCATTTACACCCTGGAGCTCTATGCAAAGCTGCTCTGGGGGGCTCAATCTCACATGTCTCCATTTGCAAGCAGATCTGCAGAAATGCAGAAAATGTTTGCTGGATGGTTTTTTGGGCAGTCTTTGACAGCACCTTCAGCCTCCTAGCAGAGCTCAGCAGGCTCCCTGTGACCCTGGCCCCTTGATGAAGTCAGCCTTGCCCCCTGTTTCCTTTCAGGATTTCACTGCAGTCCAACCAGCACCAAAGAGGTGACATAACCTGACCTGAGGCTGCTCCTCACTGTCTCTGCCAGGCTTCTGATAACCACTGTTGTCATTTGTCACACTGACACATGACTTAGGTGGCAGCTGAGAGGATGCTATTTATGTGGCTCACTCCAAACCCACATGTTTGTCTTATTAAAACATAAGAACACAAGTGAGGGAGTTCACACTAGAATTGGTGCCATTGGCCTTACCTGATCACAGAACCCAACCTGCACAGGCAGCCAGGAATTCAGCTTCATCATTAAGACCAAGGAAATACTTGGAAAGAACCACTGAGAATCCAACACACTTCTTCTCAAATATACCCAGTTCTGAACACAGAGAGGGCCTGTACCATTTACAATTGTATGAAAAAGAGCAGTTTTGCTGGCAAATCCTTGTCTGCTCCCTCCACAACACATAGATTATAGTCACTGTTTTACTTCCCCTCTCAGTCCTTCATTTACAAACTCAAACACCCCACAATCAATCCCAAAAGACATGCTGATTACAAGTGCTATTGTGAAATAAAGTCATAACGTAACAAATTCCACATCTCAGTGTATTGTTTCAGTGAGCATCTGGTGAAGCAGAAATTCAGTATTACAGAGTTTGTTTCTGAATTAGGAAAGTACATTTGTTGGTTGGTTTTTTTTTTAGATGAGGAATGAACTGGCGTGGACCTTGAAAAGCAGCAGCTTCTGAAAGCAAGCTGAAGGATCTGTGAAAGGAAAGGCCCTCTGCTTGTTTACAAAGATGCCAACAGTTGCAGGAAGCAGCCTTCAGGAGTCAAAAAAAGAGGTTTCTTCAGTCAAATATACAGAGCAAGGCAGGTTTCCCTCCCTGCCACACACTGCAGGTGACATTAGGAGCCCATCAACATGCCCATGAAGTCTGATCCGTTCTGGATGGTGACGGGGGCTCCAGCACTGTTGTCCACAAATATGGAGGTGTACTGGCCAGCCTGCAGGGAGAGGGGAGGGAAAACATCTGATACTTCACCCCAGGGTAAAAGGAGGGAAAAAAGAATTTCCCTGACCTGACCAGAGGAGCATCCTTCCCTTTTCTGTGGGGTCTGACAAAATATTTCACTGCAGCACGAGAGCTTTGACTCAGTGGAAGAGACTTCCTGGAGACTTACAGGTTTGTTACTTAACTGGATCCCTACTGTAATGGCATCCTTTTGGGTGACCTGGAGAAGAAAAGGCTCCAGAGGGACCTTAGAGCACCTTCCAGTACCTGAGGGGGCTCCAGGAAAGCTGGGGAGGGACATATGACAAGGGCAGGGAGTAGAGAGGACAAGGGGAATGGATTAAAACTGGAAGAGGGGAGATTTAGGTTGGACATTGGGAGGAAATTCTTTGCTGTGAGGGTGGTGAGAGCCTGGCCCAGGTTGCCCAGGGAAGCTGTGGCTGCCCCATCCCTGGCAGTGTTGAAGGGTAGGTTGGATGGGGCTTGGAGCAGCCTGGGCTGGTGGGAGGTGTCCCTGCCCATGCAGGGGGGTGGGAATAGATGATCTTTAAGGTCCCTTCCAACACCATTCCATGATTCTAGGACTAGTCAGGTGGCCATTTGTGCTCCAGATTCCCTTCTGCACAATGGGAAACACACCTGCCATCTTGACAACACAAGGTGAGATTTGAGAAAGAAAAACATTTAGTGTCATTCTTAGAGGGAAAGCTACTTCTGTGGCTTAAGATCAGAATGTGCCACACAAGTCTGGCTCTTGCTCCTCTTCCTGCCACAGACTGTCTCTAGTCACCCCAGATAAGGCAGGTAACTTTATTAACCTTAGGAAGAAGGTTAATAAAAACTTCCTCATCTCCTGGTGAAAATTCAGCCTTGCCAGTGAGTAAATCCACATCCTGCCAAGCACACCAGCACAGTGACTCCCAGCCTGCACCCACTCACCTGCAGCTGCAGCAAGCCATGCACATAGACAGTGAAGATCTTGCTGTTACTTTCCAGCCCAGCAATGACTTCCAAAGACCTAAACAGCAGCAAAATAAAATTAAAAATAATTAAAAAAAGAGATTAAACACCTTCAAACACTAGAACCTTGTCACTGTCATGACTAATGGAAGAGATCCAGGATTGTGGATGCAGAACTCAGCTGGAGGCAGGAACTGGGAGTTACTTTCTCTCCCAGTGGCTTTCCTTAGGGTCCTGTGGTCTGTACCCCCCACCCTTGAACAGCTGTTAACATGCCCTGTAGACTCATCTCCATACCAGTTACCCCAGTTTGTTGACCACAAGTGTTTATACTTGTTATTCTGCAGAGAGCTGTGTGCATTCTGCCAGGAGCAGCTCATTTGTTTTCAAGGTATGAAGGGCCTGTTTCAGCTTCACTAGGCAACCTGTGCACAAAATAACACATTCTGCAGCTGAAACATGTTTTGAGAGGACACTTGGATCAGGGGTTCTTCAGTTAAAATTGAAGGGAGAGCTGCAGATCACCCCTCAAGCACTGTTCCTTCAAAACATCATGTTCTAACAGCCACCAGCTTCCTTGCAGCAGTAGGATGGAGGATCACTGCTTTCTGGGGCACCCTCTTTTTCCAGAACTCTGACTCTGCCCCTTCGTGCAGCATTCAGGGTGGAAGAAGGTGCTGAAACATCAGAACAATCAGAACAACCCAGGTGAGCTCTGTTCCAAAGCAATGCAGAAGCACAGAGCTCCATACCTGGCTGGTTCTTCTGAAATCTGCCTAGGAAGTGGTAGCAGATCTGGTTGTTTTCCCAAGAAAACCAACCCCTTTCTTCCCTTTTGTTCCATCCAGTGGTGGTGATGAAACCTTGCAAGTGCAAACGAGTTGTTTCCAGCCCCCTTGTGAGGGAACCATGTGCATCAAAGGTAGGGGCAATTTGGCCCAGAGAGAGCAACCCACTTGGCACCACTGAAGAGCTCAGTCTGTGTGTCATATCCTGCCAAAAGCCTGACTTGGGTGGGAACTTCCCTCCATTAATCTCTTCTACTCCAACTGTCTCCTTGCCTCTGAGTTTCCACCTCTCTCAGTCAAAAGCCCTCGGGGCTCTTCCAGCTCCCTCAAATGACTGACTGTGTACTTGACATCCCCAGGAAATTCCACAAGCAGGGCTAGCAGCTCAGCCTGTGCCAGTAGGATGTCTGTCCAGACAGGTTCCCATCCCTCCACCCATCTTCCTGCCACGCCACAGACCAGTCACACACCCACCAGCTGAGGGAGAGATGTCTCTCAGTCAGTGCTGCTCCTGCTTTGCTGTCCAACTCACTCCACTCAGGACAGCCTTGCAGGGCAACCAACCATAAATTGCAACCCTGGATAACTGATGAAAACTCTGAGTCAAACATCAGAGAATTTTATCTCAGTGATTTACAACTGGGTCAGTTCTGTCTAAGAAAAGAGAAGGTTTTACTGTTACTGTTCTTGGGAGAATGTAGCTATAAATTCTTCAGCTGGCAAGTTAATCTCAAAACATCCCAATAAACCTGCCTGGGCTGTATGTGACCAGCAGATTGTTCACACATCCCAGTGAGAATCACAACAGTTTTCCAGGAGCTCTCAGCTACAAAGACCTGCAATGAGGAAGGCACAGTAGTTTCCATGGCCCACAGGGAAGCTTTTGACTCTTGGGAGACCTGCAGGATCAACTTCACTTTGAAATCCTCTTAGGTGGCTTCCTCAATCTCACTCACTCATTCACTCAACTCTTTGCTGAAGTATCATCAGGTCAACACCACCAACTGGCAGTATTTTTCAGCAGCCAGTTGCTCCAGTCAGCAAGCTCCTTGACTGTCCATCAGGTCAGTGGGTGCAGAGCTCCCTCCTACCCTAGTTACTAATGGGTACTCAGATACCAACCAAGTCTTTTCCACGGGCCAGTGAAATCTAAATGAGGCTGATTTATTACATGAAGCTCAATGACAAATTCACCTGCCAATAAAGCCTCTCAACTGAAATGCCTGTGGAAAGGTCAGTCCTATTTGCAGCAGAGAAGGTGAGGGCTGAAACAACCAGTCCAGCAGCAAACTTGTGGTTTTCTGGGGCTTAAGTTGCACCTGTGGAGTCTCTTTATGGATGAGTTTCAGTGGTGCTATTGCAGGGGTGTTGCTACAGCTGTACCAGGAGAGCTGCAGGCAGGGCAGAGCAAATCTGCCCCAGCCCTGTAAAGGCACTTTTCCTCCCGTGACAAGGACCGAGCTGTAAGCAGAGGAGGTGGCCACTGTGCAAGCAGCATTGCCCTCTGCTGGGTGCAGTTCAGCCCAGCCAGGGGCTCCCCAACCCCTTCTTCCAAGCAAAGCTTGGCAAACTCCTCCTGAGCAAGCTGGCCTTCTCCAAAACACAGGGCATCTATATGCTGCAGGGGAAAGGATGGGAGATACATCCATTTTCAGCCTGCTTCATTCACAATTCTCTCTACATAGGCATATTTTAGCTATTTAGAGTAATTGGTACTGAAAGGTTAAACATCAGAATGAAAAAGCACACATAAAACCCAAGGCCAGATGGAGTCACTCCCTTCACAGTTAGAGAATCACAGAACGGTTCAGGTTGGAAGGGACCTGAAAGACCCTCGAGTTCCAACCTTCCTGCTACCAGCAGGGAAAAGTCCTACAGGCTTTTATCATGTAAAGTACACTGCTGGGGAGTCTGATTTCCACAGCTGGTGGAAACGTTGGCCCATCTGAGAAAAAAATACTTGCCAAGACAGCAGTGCAGTGACTCACGTGTATCGGTGGCACAGGGACTCGATGCAGATCAAGACACGGACGTTGTCTCTGGCTCGGAGCTGGACTTTACTCTTCAGCTCACTGTGGTCTGGGAGAAGCAGAGGAAGAGCCATCAGCACTTAGACACCATAGTAGACCATCAGCTGCTGGTGCTTGGCTTACCAGAGACACCAGTAGCCTTGTGACTCGTGTATTGGGTTTGCGTGGCAAAGTTTTGGTAGCTGGGGGGGCTGCAGGTGTGGTTTCTGTGAGAAGCTGCCAGAAGCTGCCCCCATGTCTGCCAGAGCCAGGGCCAAGTCCCACCAGGGATGGTGGTAGTGCCTCTGTGGTGACATATTTAAGAAGGGGGGTAAAAAGTTGCACAACAATCTACAGCCTGAGAGAGGAGTGAGAATCATAGAATCGTAGGGGTTGGAAGAGACCCATGTGAGGAGTAACTCTGCAGATACCAAGGTCAGGGGAGGAGGGGGAGGAGGTACTTGAGGGGCCTGAGCAAAGATTCCCCTGTAGCCTGTGGTGAAGACCATGGTGGGGCAGGCTGTCCATGCAGCCCATGGAGCTTAATGGAGCAGGTGGATGTGCCTGAAGGAGGCTGTGATCCCGTGGGAAGGCCATGCTGAAGCAGGCTCCTGGCAGGAGAAGGAGATGCTGGAGCAGGTTTGCTGGCAGGATTTGTGAGCCCACGGGTGACCCACACCCTGTGGCCAAGACTCACCAATGTGGACATTGGCTGAAAACTGGTAGATGCCAGACACAGGTGCTGTGAAACGTCCTGTTGCCAGATTTAATCCTGTCCCCCGGAGAAAAGCTCCTTTGGCCAGAGGCTGTAAGGGAAGAAAAGCAGACCCTGAACAAGTCTCCAACACCCTCAACCTCTGCCCATGATGAAGAATAAGCTTATGTGCATGAGAACAAAGCTTTACAAAATTGCAAAGCCCAATATCCCCAGAACACACCTTTCAGAGGGGCTCTTTCTCAGCATTTGATGATCACAAAAGGCAAAATGATCAGTCTGAGACATGAAGATGCCTTTTTTTGCTCACTGCCAAACTCTTCTAACCCACCTGGACCTGACTGTGCTTACTGCATCTCCATCCTCTGCACTGCTGTTCTGATACACAACATTTCCCATTATTTGAGCCAGGAGGTCCCTACCACTCCCAAAGACTTCCTACATGGGGCCAAGCAGTGTCCCCAGGCATAAAAACCTGGAACCTTGTACACTGTTTTTGTGATACAAACAGAGAGGAAACACTCCTGTGGGTCTCCAGAGCTTTTCTACCCACATTAGGTCTCAGACTGCTTTGATACTGTTAAAGAACAACTGCTTGGATTCTTACAGATTCCATATTTAGTTTCATTTTGTTCCAGCCTTGGATTCTACAGAAGAGGCACAAACCTGGTGAGACAGCAGGCAGACTCTCCTCATGGCAAGGAAGCAGTCTCAAGTCAAACTTGCAGCAGATTATCTGACTCAGACTAAAATAAACTCTGCGAGAAATGTTTATTGTTTGTTTTGGCCTGCCTCATGTGGATTTGGCTGGAAGTGGGGAGAGGCAGGAGTGGCTTCAGTGGGCCAAGAAAGCACATTAGTCAGACTCTGCTTCCACCGCAAGGGCATTCCGTGCAATGGGAACACATTCCTGGGAATGCTGTCCTGGGGGATTTGCCTCCCCTTAGTCATAGGGGACAGAAGAGCTGTTCAGAGCTGGCTCTGCAGAGGCACACACACTGCTATGTCCCTAAACATAAATGAATAACTGAGCCACCTCAACAACACAGCATTTGGGTGTGTTTTCCAGATGGGGCTCTGAGCAACTTGGCCCAGTGGGAAGTGCCCCTGCCCATGCAGGGGGTTGGAATGAGATGATCTTTAAGGTCCCTTCCAACTCAAACTATTCTATCATTCCATGATTACTAGAGGGTGAAAGGGGCCTGAGACACAAATTTGCACTGGTGTTGCCACAGATTACTCTAAAATAAAAGTAGTGGAACACCTCAGCTCCAGTACTAGAGGAGGTTAATTGCCTCCCCATTCTGGTTCATCACCAGAAATTGCCAGTTATCACAGGGTAGGAATAATTAATTTAGCTTTCTCTTTGAAAGGAAGTAAGGCTGCAAATATTTGGGTCTGGTGGTGTTTGTTTAGAGTTACTACATGGTGGAAGGAGTGAAATTACTAACCTGCCTTTACTCAGCAAATTCCAAGCAAGGCTCATGAAAGAGTAATTCCCAGTCCTTATTCACCAAGGATCATATTTACCTTACTAACCTATCAACCTGTAGTCTTAAATTCCACAATCTTCACTAGAAATGTTGTATGTATGCATGTGATGGGGAAAATGTATCCAATGCAGCAGCAGGTTCCAGATGTACAATGGGAAACCAGTAACCATGGGCTGCAGAACAGTAATGATGGAGTGCAGGACAATTGTGTTTCATGCAGTGGTTTCCAAGACTCTGTATTTATCAGTGTGCACTGCTGTGTGCTTATGTGCACAGATCTACACACACAAGGAGCTCTGCCTGCTTTATGTACACACACATGGACAATATAACAGCTAACCTAACAACAGAGGCTGGGGAAGGAACTTGATGGTGCCCTTATGCTGTCACCACACCATCAGTTTTGGGCATGCTATTTTTGTTGTACCTCACTGCAAGAGCAGACCCAAGCCCTGTGTGTGCACAACTGTCCTGCAGAGTTGATTCATTCCTTTCTTGTTATGGCTATTAGCAGAGTCAGCAACATCATTCCAAAACCACTGGCTGAGCGTGGAAGGCAATTTTAGGCACCAGAAAATTATCACTGATAGAACATTCCTGTTTCTTCATGCCCTCTGTGGCTTTGTTATTCTTTTGCTCACAGAAGTAGACAATGCAGGGAGAGGTTCTCTGGGCAAAATATTCCATTAAAGCCCATGCCAATTAGAGCTCCTTGCTGCATTTGCTGCCACACAGCAGCACACACCTCCAGCTGCCTCAAACACTGCAGGGGTTTGTGCCTGAGGAACTAACTGCTTGCACACTGTTTTTTCAGTAAGCAGACCAAAAGCAAACAAGCAAGTTAGTGTCCATGGAAAACAGGGACTGTCCACAGAGAACTGAGAGGTGAACTTTCACTTTTCAGTGATAAACCACTATGGAAAGTAATGAATTGACTTATCTGTTCTTAAAGAAGAGGATAACCCAGCCTGCACAGCAACCACCACACACAGGGGGTGCAGCCATAAAACTCAATGCCAAAGGAAGACATTTAGCTTGGTCTCAAGGCACTAGAGACACCAGGACTCCTCCTGGGACCATGAGAGCTTCACCATGAGAAGCATGTGGGCCACCTTGGCCTTAAATGATCTGATTCCTGTACCATTCCTGGGCCCCAGGTAAACCCCACTCCCATGGCCTGTCAGAGGCTGCAGTCACTTCAGTTCCTGCTGTGCTAAATACCTCTCTGAAAGCTTTTGCATGAAGCAATGGTTAGAAAGCTCAGAGCTTGAGATCCAGGAGGGAGAGGTGTGGGGAAAGGAGTATGGCATGTTTCCTTCCAGATACTAAGGAAATCGTGAGACTAAGAGAAGAGAGGAAAGGAATGTTGGAATGGAAGAAATTTAGCATGGAAGGGTGAGAAAATCCTCACAGTCTCTCAATGTTCCAGGTCAGAGTGACAACACACTCAAGTAGCAGAGTGAGAGGCCTTTTCTCAGCTCAGGCTCTTTCCACTATCTCAAAATGCTTTGGGTAAGGTCCAACTCCTTGAATTAGAGTCAATTCCCATCATCTCACTGAGAAGCACCAAACTGTTGGCTTATTCACATCAGTAACCTGACAGAATGGAGGGAGAGGAATTCTCTCTCTCCCCCCCTTGGACTGTTTAAAGACAATGTTTTCATCTTTCCAAGAGCATCCACTGTCTCCCTCCCTGCTAAATTCCCCTATATCAGAGCACAAGCTAAAACCAGACACTTCTTGTCCCAAAGCTGAAATGAAAGGCTGGCATCCAGAGGCCTGCCAGCTCTCCCACAGCAGCTTCAGGGCCAGAAGCAATTAGAAAGCAGCTCAGAGTGGGATAACAAAGCATGGGAAGCGTCGGCCTACGCACCCATCGCTGAGATGTCTTTATTCACATTTTCCCTCCTAATTAATGAGGCAGCAGATCTCCCTAGCCCTGCCCACACTTCAAGTACAATCTTGCCTCTGTGCCAGTACCCACAGTGCTGTCAAACCAGGCTTCCACAAGTGTGTTTGGGAAAGGTCCAGGAAAGCACCCTGTTTAGAATGTAACCGCTGCCTCTAGTCCTGCAGCTGTGAGAAGTCCCAGCAGCAAAACTGCTCCAGAGAGGATCTGCTGGACAGGATTCTTCAGGAATGGGACTCAGTGCAGCTGGGAAGAAAGCTGGGCACCTTACTACATGGACAGTGCTAGCAAACCCTGCTAACAGAGAGCCATATTCTCTCTTCATACTCCTCAAATTCAAAATGAGATCCTATTTGCAGCTGGTTCAGAAGTGGTTTTAGTATCAAATTCAACAGCTCACTTGTAACCCTGTTTATCATGCCCCACAGCACCCCAGGATGGGGTGCTGGTCATTGTAACAGGACTATATGAAACGACACAGGTAACTTCTGTTAGTCTTCTGTAAAACATTATGTAGAGAATTTGAGCATCAGGATTGGTCCATCTGACAAAATGATGGCTCACAAATCTACAGCCAGTGTCTTGTCTGCCTCTGACATTTTTCTACATCTGAAGGTTACTCTGGAATTAAACAGGGTGTGCACTGCAAAAAAAAAGAACAGATCCTTCAGCCTAATGCCAAACATGGACAAGTCTTTCTCCATCATTAACTGAAATAAAAAGACTGGCTGTTGTTTGGGCCTGTGAGACAGTCCTCTCCTGCACAGACCTGTTGGAACTTCAGAAAGAACTGTAATAAGATTCAGTTGGGCTGCAAGAGAGGAAGAAATTCTGACAAAGGGTTTGTCAGGAAGGAGAGGACTCAAAGCTAAGTGTCCATCTCACTGCAGTTGAGCTTCAGTGCAGAAATCACCACATGAGATTCTACTCCTGTCAGTCACAAAAAAGGCAGTGCTGTGTTCATCCAAACCTGAGATGAGCTACTGGGATGAGTCTGGCCTTTCAGGAGACACCTTGATCTACAGAGCCACCAGCAGCTCTGCAGACTGGGGGAACTACACCTGATCTACACACAGTGGCTGTGGAGGAGCTGCACAGGTTCTGTCTGTAATCCCCTCTCACCGACTGGAAGTTCTGAAGTTCTACCAAGGTCTTCTTATCTACGGTGACTTGTCCTTTCAGCTTGCAGTGGAATGCCTCCTCCACACGTCTGTGGGGTGACACTTCCTCCAAGGAGAGCAGGAGTGGAGGCAGCTGGCTAGGATGAGCTGAAATAGCCAGGGATGCTCGACGCTCAATGGCTTCTGGAGAGAAGAAACATCAGAAAAGAAAGGCTTAGTTTCAGAGCCTGGTGTGGGAAACCATCAGTTGTGCAATTAGACTCTGCTCTCAACTCTTCAGCTGGAGCCAAGCATCACTGGGGAAACATTTCTTCAGATTTGTGATTGCCAGAGAGGGAAATGCTTTCAGGTAAAGGTTGGCAAAGCCAGTTCTCTCATTGCCATGCTGAAGCACATCACAACAGCTCAAAGCTCTGACAGTCTTTACCTTTTAGTATCTCCTTAAACTCCTGCAGAAGGACTTCCCGGGTGACTTCAGCACCAGGTGCTCCTGGAGGTCCCTGGGGGCCTGGAGGTCCTGGAGGCCCAACAAGGCCACGCTAAGGGAGCAGCCACAGAAAAACATGTCAATTAGAACCAGGCAATTGCACTGACAGACCAAAAATTCTCTCAGCCATGAGCCAGTTCCACAGGGCTGTCAGCCACCTGAGCAGCCCCCTCCACTATCCATCAGGCCTGATGCAGTAAATCTTAAACTGAGTCTCCAGGCACCTGTGAATTCCAGCACTTGGAATTTCCTCACATCTTTTCATATGGGAGGATAAACTGCTCCAGTAACCAAGTACATGTATATGGTGTGAAACTAGAATTGCTATCTAGCCACACATTCCTAATACATATTGCTCAGCCAAAATGATCACATACATGAACATCTGGTGCAACAGCAGAGCCCTCAAAAAACAATGGAAAGGTTTATTCAAAACAGCTTAAAGGCCAGCACACACATTAGAGCTTTAAACTAGTAGTACAAACATGCAAGTGTTATCAATGCTATTTTGATGTCTGTTGTTCCCAGGGGGTTCCTGCTTCCTCAGCTGAGCTGCAGTAAACCTGCATGGAAGCACTCCTGAGGCTCACTGAGGAATAAAGGGAGATCATTAAAAGCATTCAAGATTGTCTAAGCAGCAGATTAAAAGTGCACACATGATCAAGCATCACTCAGCAGATGATCAGTAATTCATTAATTTGAAATAAATTACTTGTCCAGACCTTGATTATTATATATATATCTATAACCTTTGAGATACCTGGACTGATACTGGAAGAAAAAAGAATAATTTTACTTCTACTGAGAAAAAAACCCAAAACACAACAGAAAAGGCTCAGTCCAAGAAACAGCTGGTTTGAAGGAAAAAGAATGTTGACAGTGGAATCCCCATACCTTATCTTAGAAAGCATGTGGCACTTACTGTCTCAAACTTCTCCAAAATACTTGGAGAAATTAAAAACAAATGAAAATGCAGCATTCGGGGATGAGAAGACAAAAGCTGGAGCATAGAAAACACTTTTGCCTATCAGCAGCAGGAAGGGAAGCCAGGCTGCACATTTATTAGCTGATGGCCACCTAGCAATAACCTACTAATTTCTTGTCTTTCCCCTTGCATCTCCTTTTGGAGGTGTTGCCATCATCTGGGCGGTGAACAAAGGAGATCCAGGTCCGCCGTGGATCTGTGATCCGAGGATCTGGAGATTCCAGGATCTAAAGAGAAGCAAGAACAAAGTCTGATATCACTCTATGGATGCACAGAAGGCAGTTTCCAGAGCAGACTGTTGTCTGCTGCCTAAACCACATCCTCCATCCAAAAGGGTGGGACAAAGTGGGATTTGACACATCTATAACAAGCAGCTCAGGCTGGACCATCCAGTCCCGTGCCCCCTTTGGTCTTCATTTCCAGGAGCATTGCAAATACAGGGTAGTGCTGCAGTCTGAGCTCTGACAAAGTGCAGGAAGGACACCAGCCCTTCAGAGAGTCCCAGCAGAGTGAGATCTTTTTACTTCCTAAGCTACAGGCTACAGCAGAGATGTCCTGAAAGCCAGAAGATGCTGCCCTTCAAACATCAAAATGCCTTCTCATAACTTATGTGCCATCACTTGCAGGGCCTCCCAGGCCCCTTGCTTAAGAAATCAGTAAGAGCCAAGAGCTGGGTGCACCTCACAGACCTTTCTCAAGCTGCTGAGACTCTCAGCCCTCTGACAGTCCTAACATGTGCCATAGAAAACCTGCCCAGATGCCAGATATTGTTCACCACTGGCATCTCTCAGTTATCAGTTGGATCAATCAAGCAATACAGGGAGATTAAAACATACAGAAAACCTTGAAATGCTCCATAACTTTCAAATCACAGGCTGTGGAGTGACAAATGTGCACATGGAAAAAAAAACCCAAACCATTCACAATTTAAAACTAAGTCCATGTCTGACCACAGAAAATATGTCCTTTGGCAAATGCAACTACCTTGCTCATTCCTGTGTTCTGCAGCCACAGAGGAATCATCTAGAGGAGCTTTGACATTACAGTGCCTAGTTCTGGATCCCTTCTAAACAAAATCTGGACAGAAGACAGAATCTGTCTTTATGAATTTGGGTCCACTTCCTATTGGATTCCTGGTTCCCATTACCCACCTGCCAGAGACAACCAGAAGAAAGTAATCAGAGCCATACCTGTTGTTTTCATCCATAACTGGCAAAGGACTTCTACCTTGAAATTAAAAAAAGGCACCAGAAATAACTGGTTACTAATACCCTGCCAAGCTCTTGTCAAACTGTTGAGTATGGAGATTCCAACCTGTTGACATATGAGCCCCCAAGTGTCCATCACAGTGAGGATAAAAGCACAAGCCTTCCCCAAGTTTCATGAACCATGCTTAATTAGCCAGAGCCATTAATGAAAAAGCCAGAGAGAAAAGTGGCAACGAGTACTTACAATCTTTCAAACAAAAAACCAACCAAACAAACCAACAGAAAACCCACCCTGTGCTTACTGTAAACCTTTGGAATTCATTGAAGAAACCTGTTTTTTGTTCCTCCTGCTGAGACAGAACAGGCACAGAGCAGAATTCCAGCAGGAAAGCAATACGAGGCAGTGATGGGTTGAATGCCATTTGAAATGATTCCATCAACCTTTGGAATGCAGGTGGAGCTGCAGTCCCAATAACTGCAGTATGTGGCACCCTCTAAGAGTAATGGGAACCAGAAGATTGCCAATTTTAGCAAGAAATATCAGGGCAAGCTCATTTTGAGGAGAAAAGACCAGTTTGTGTGATCTGCTATGCAAAATCCCAGCAGCATGAACTGTTTCAAAATTAAATCTTAGAAGTCTGCTGGAGTTCCAGCTTGAGGTTACAAGGAATGTTGGTTCTTCTCAACAGATGCAAAGCCTGGAAAGCTCTCTCTCCAGCATGAATCCAGGCATGGGGGTGTAGTACAAGGCACCTGTCCATAGGTTTCTAAGCTGATGTGATCACAATTATTTATTTCAAACAGCTTTGGTCAACAGATGATGTACAAACCAGCAGAGCAAGAGTAGCTCCCCAGAAATCAGCTGTGTCGTGAGCTGAGGAAGGGGTATGTTAAACACACATCTTAAACTCTGTGAAGCCAACTCTGTCTTCTCTCTTAGCTAAATAATTTGAAGTGATTTACTGCTCAGACACAAGCCACAGAAAGATCTGCTGCTATTGAATTGCTCTGTTCAGGCAGTCCCCTTGTCCTCCCCTCCAGACAGATGGCTGCAGAGTAGCTGGCACCTGTGCTCCAAGTCCAAGGAAGGAGATCCTCAGATATTTCACCGCATCATTCCTGAATTCTACTGTCATTTATCAGAGCCAGGGTTAAGGTTATGCACATCCCTCCCAGTGCTCACACAAGGGGAAGACAAACCATTCATAACAATCTAGTTCATTCTGTCTGTATCCAAATCAGTCTTGACAGACTTTTAGTGTTTATAACCCCATTTACAGTCAGCTGTAAATTGTGTGTTTGGTCAAGGGATTCTAGTAGGTTGTTTCAGCTAGATAATTATTTGCCTTTTTTATACTTACCATACCCAGGACTTGAATAGCTTTCTGAAATTCCATTGGAAATTAATGTAAATGGAGCCTCACAGGAAATCCCAGGTATTGTGAGATCAGTCACCTCACTAAAACATTATCACCTTCCCACAAATTGCTTGACTGCATTTTTGTGAAGAATGAGAAAGAAATTAAAAGCCAGGCTGAGAGGATCCTCTCCATCTATTGTCACATGTAACCATCAAGGCCAAAGGTTCATAAAGTTTGGAAAAGTCCTTAGAATAGCACACGAGGCACAGCTTGTTTCTGCAATAGACATGAGAATTACTCAGAGTTTCATGGAGATTTCATGGTTTCTGATGGGAGAAGTTAGTTCTTTCCTGCTCCTTCTGAACAGACAGGTGCAGCATCACCACGCAAGGTCACACCTGCAGAGGACTTTATGAGCTTTTAAGCTCATAAATGTAAAGCAGGTAAAAGCCTGCCCAAAGGAAGAGGTCTTTTTGTCCCTGTGACTGGGACTGAGAGGTCTGTGGCAAAGCTGCAGTGCAGGTCATGAAACAGAAGGAAGCAACTTATTAATAGAAGCACCCAACTAGGGCAGGATGGGGTATTCCCTCAGTGCTGGAACAGGAGTCAGCCAAAGAACAGCTGAGTTGCAGAGAAAGGGAAAATGAAATCAGTTCATTCTTCAAAAAGGGCTGGATCACGTGGCAGGAATTTAAAAGTGCAGTCTCCAGAGCACAGCAAACACAAGTCAGGAGCCTTAGGAACTGGGATGCAGCATTTGCTACAGATGTGGGGAGAGCAGGCAAATATTCCTGGTTTCCACCAGGCTGCAAGACAGGCATAAAAACCTCTCCACTGCAAAAATAAGGAAACAGGCCAGCTAGGTGCAGAAGCCAGCAATCATGGGCAGGCTCTGACCATTAACTGTGAAGACAAACAGATGTCCCCTGCCTTGCTGGAACTCTGGCTGTGAAGAAACAGGCCAGAGGAGACATCTTGTCAGGGGAAAAAAAAAACAACAAAAACAAACCAGATGGCACATCCCAGGAAAATAAATGAAAAACTCCTGAAGTTTAAAATATATATATATATATATATATATATATATAAAAAAGTCAAAATCCCACACCTCTCCAGTGGCTTGCTTGAATTACAAATCCCTCTACAAGACAGTCATGGCACTCCCCAATTTCTCCAGTACAAGGATGATTGACAGTTAAAATGAATGTTCCATCCTTGTGGTATTATTATTTAATTACTATGGCATGCATGAGCAATCCCAGCAATAAGCATGCAAGCCTCTGTTTTTCTTGGCAGCAGCAGCCTCCAGCAGCCAGAGAGACCTTGCAGCCAACTCAGGTATCAGGACTTAGAACAGCTTTGGAATCCCAGAAAAGGGGACTTGTCCCTCCTGGGCTGCTGTTTCCAGAGTGAAGCTAAACTGGAGGAGTCAGGAGGAATCCTCCTGCTAAAGACACTGAAATCAGGCTTACTCTTTAACACTTGAAACAGCACCTCTAAAAACAACAGCAGCCTTGCCAGAGATTTGTAATGAACTTTCAATCAGGTAGCTGGAATCCAAATACAATGGCAACTCTCATTTCAGACCCATGTAATGGCACTGGTGAGGAATTAGCCCACCCTCTCCCCAGCTTCCCTCACAGTAAAAGACAAATTGAGCTGTAATTCAGACTGCTGCATATGAGCAGAACCTGTGGTTCCTTCTGGCTCTGACTCCCAGAACAGCACACACTGCCCAGGGACACACACAGCCTCTGGCCAAGGTTCAGCCAGCATAGAAGGAACTACTAGTAGAAACCTACAGTCAAGGAGCAGAGTTTGGATCCTTGAGAAATTTCTGAACTGTATCTGAGCTTTCCTGAAATTCAAGGATACTGGGACCCTCACTCTGCATCTCTGCTAAAAACCAAAGTGAATTGGAGAAAAGTAATTGCAAAGTCTGGGGAAATGAAAGGAAAAAGTCAATGCTACCTGTGAGCAGCCTGTGCACCTAAATCATCTCAAAGTGTCCTCATGCACACATTTCTCAGGGTGGGTCAAGATGGAAAGACAGCATGAAAAAGTCAGAGTTCTGTGAGGGGAGATAATCCTTTCCACCTGCTGTTAGTCAGAGATGTGTGTCCAAGAACATGCAACTAACCATTCCAGTCCACAGTCTTTATGCCTCAAGTTACTGCCCTGCAAGTCTTGCTCAAATTGTTATCTATGTATTTGTTCATCTGTGATGGAATTATAGACTCATAGAAGGTCTTGGGTTGGAAGGGACCTCTAAAGGTCATCTAGTCTAACCTCCTACAATAAGCAGGGTCAACAAAACCAGGTTGCTCAGATCCCCATCCAGCCTGACCTTGAGTGTCTCCAGGGATGGAGCCCCCACCACCTCTCTAGGCCACCTGTTCCAGTGACCCACCACCCTCATATTAAATGATATATTACTATATTTAATAATTCTTTGCTTAATAGTTGAAGAGTTGCCAGATACAAAATGGACCTAAGCATTTCAAGTATCTTAATCCACAGATTTCTGTGTTGTTACAACTGATTTACACCAGCAAGAGTATTGTCAGCTTCGTTATGAAATTAGGAGCAAATTCTTTATTTCAGTGGTGTATTTTACTTGTAACAGGCTAAAAAGGGACAGACCACTTTTTTTTTTTGTAGCCTGAGAAATCCTACGTCAGCTGCTAATAAGGTACAGTTACACACACTCTTGGTTATTAATGAGATGTAAAACCAAGGTCTGACCACTTGTGGTTTTTACAGATCTGTCAAGATTTTCCCTAGAGCAGAAGTGTTAGGTTTGGTATCTTAGCCAAATCTGAAACTGAACTCCTACCTAAATTCCCACTGTGTTTTTTTGATTGAAAAACTGTTCTTCACATCTCCAAATGGCTACCTCAAAAAGCTTCTCCCCTCCACTTAAAACACAAACTGCCCTCAGTGGGCACACCCATAATGAATTTAATTAATCTAATGGAACAGTGAGCAAAAGCTGCTCTGGGTGAGAAAAAGACATGGTGTTTGGTGCTGGGAGCTGTACTGCAGTGCTCACCAGGGCCACCCCTGCCTGTACCAGTTGAGTTCTGCCTTTAGGGACACCACAAAAAGGTAAAGAAATGAACAGCACCAAGAGAAGAAGTGTAGCACAATGTGTCCAGCACACAAACCCACAGACATTAATAATGAGCTTCAAAAATCATCCAAGCAGCTCTGAGAAATAAGAGCAAGCACTGAATGATGTTATCTGCTGAGTCAGAGGAATGAATCCAACATCATTTTACATGGGCCACAAGGAATTGCTAGGAAGCACAGTCCTTCTTCTTCATAATATGCCAGAGCAAGGCTGAGAATGAGACAGACACAAACAAAGATAACACCATCTGCTGCAGACAGGTCACAGTCCAGTCTCTCTCATGGCTTTAACACTTGTCAGGCCCCAAAAGACTTGTCTCAATTCCACATGCAATCACACACTTCAGGCTAAGACTGCAGCCTCTTTACAGAGGAGGAATGTAATGTGTGCAATGTCATTGGACCAGCTGCTGCTTTCAATTGAAAGCAAAAGGCCTCAAAGAAAGAATTCAGAGAAATTTAAGTAATAAACCAGGTAGACCCAGCCTTAGTCATTTGACAGAGGGATCATGAAGGAAATAAAATTTCAAGGACTCCTTGGCTACACAGTGGGTAACTAAATTAAAAACATTACACTGTTTCTTGCAGAAATTTCACTGAAGGTAAAATCCTGCTGACCTCAAATCATCTGAGACACTGAGTCAGTAATTTCCCCCAGGATAGGATGCTGCTTTTGAGTTGCTTTGCTGAACTACACCCAAAAGCAGCTCACAGAACAGCTGGAGGAAGGGACATCCATAGTCTGGACTATGTGCAGTCAGGTTTTGAGTGTCTCCAGAGATGGAGACTCCAAAGCTTCTCTTTCCAGTCTTTCCCAGTGTTTGACAACCCTCACAGTAAAGAAGCTTTCATTCTGAAGTGGAATTCCCTGTATTTCAACTTGTATCCCCTGCTTCTCATCCTTTCACTGGGCACTAAGGGTCTGACTGCATCTTCATTCCCTCTACTCAGGTACCAAAAGGTAACTCCTGATCAGTGTCAGCCCTACAGAACCAGTGGACAATCTGCTACTGCTG